CATGCTTTCAACTTCCCGTCGTGCTTCATTACTTTGTCGAGGTATCTCTGGAAAGGCCCGTTGGAGATCACAGACATCATTAAGGTTCTGTTGCCGCGATCGGCATCCACAAACTTGATCAGCTTCTTCGCGCGAATGCAATTGTTCGCCCCGTGGTTGACATCCCCTATGCGGGCCGCTGCCTCAGCCTGCTGCTCGGCATCCTGTTCTGACATATTGTCGTACATCGCGTGGAGGCACTTCGGCAACACCCCATACAAGAACATGCCACGCAACATCCAACAACTGGCCTCCTGGAACCCCTTGAAGCGATACATGAGGCAAACGGGGCACCCAGCACTGAATAACATTCTCAACGCTTTCTTGACCATTGCTTTGAAATGTCGTCGGCCTCCACATGAGCAGGCGGGGCCGTGGCGGTGAACGATCTGCTCGGACTCAGGGTCGGAATTGAGCACCATTGTGACAAAGTCCACGTCGACCTTTAGCAAATCGCGGGCACCCGAGGTCATCTCCAATATTAATCTAATCTTGGCCGTCCATCTCCTCATATCCTGGGACTCCTCCAACACATCAAGGAAAGTTGCTCTCTCTGCCAGAAGATCTAGCTGCGCTTCGAACCTGTCGTGGAACCGCCTGCCCTGCCAAAGATGACCAGCTCGGACCATATTTGAAATCGAATCGCTCTGTAAATCAAAATTTGGCCGCAGAGCCAGCATGATCTGATGCGCGTAGCAATCCAACCCGGATACAGTGAACTCCGAAACCGTACCCCGATGTTGTCTCGCCGACTCCTCCAAAAACCCTTGGATGAGCTTGTTGCAAACATGGGCGTCCTTCGTGAAAACGACGAGCTTCTCTGGGAACATATCTAGTGCAGGTCCACATGCATTGTCTATGTCAATCTTGGCGCCAGGCCTCGGCGGGAATATTGTCCACTGCTGCCAGCGGTTGTGTATTGTCCCCCAGTTGCCTCGCGGCAGCGGGACAGCAGGCGTCGCGAGCTCTAGGGCCCTACTCAGGCAAGTCGGTTGTGGTTCGAGCGGCACGACGTGCAATACTTGAGACAAGTTCAGAAATGTAGTTCGTTTGTTCCGGCCACGCTTCTTCTCATGCTGATCTTTGTCTTGGTGGGGCTCATCAGGGTCGTGTGGTCGCGGCGGCCGTCGTACCCACATGTCTGCATCATCCATCGTCGACGTGACTAGCAAACCGCGCGACCCTGCTGTGCCTGCGCTGAGGAATGATCGTGTGCCATCTGCTTGAGCGCGGACGTGGGAGACAACAGCGCGGCGAATCTCGGCACCCGTCGATTCTCTGATATCTACGGCGATCTGGAGGCCAGCAGCACGAAGTTCGTGCGTCCTCAACATCTTATCCTGGAGATTTGTTGCCACCCCCCCCCCCCCCATTTTCAACGGCGAACATCCACTGAAGATCGTTCGGTTATGGGCCATAACCGAGCGACTTACAGTGGATGTTCGCGCACGCCTGGGAGGTAGGGGTAGAACGGTCATCGGGGGGGAGAGGGTTGCAATGATGTGATATGGGTGTTGTCGTATGTGCATGCGTATGTGTAGGTATATAGATACTAGCAAAGTCTCTGGGCACGGGATCCGTCATTCGCGGAAGTAATTGATAATGATTGGGGCCAAGGGCGGATTAACATCTACAGTGCCCCAGGCATGTTGGGTCAGGGGCGGTGGCAACGAATCGTGGGGGTCCTTCGCATCCAGAGCACGCACGCCGAATGCCGCCGTGCTACACCGTTCGGCGAAGCTGCTGCTGGCCTCCTGCACTCTCTGATGCGCGCTGGCCGCCAGGCGCCTCTGAACGCCTGCGGCGATCCTGGCACGGTGCGCATCTCCGAGCCTGCGGCCACGACCTCGCCCAGCGTGTTGGACAGGGGCCCCTCCGCGGCCACGACCTCGCCCAGCAGCTGGGACAGGGGCCCCTCGTGCGCGGCCACGACCTCGCCCAGCATGTTGGACAGGGGCCCCTCGTGCGCGGCCGCGACCGCGCCCAGCAGCTGGGGCAGGGCCAGGGCCTGCATGGCCACGGCCTCCACCGTCTGCCTGGGGCTCTGGCGCTGGCGGCGGGCCGCCGCCGTCCAGCAACAGCCTCCACATGGAGGTCCAAAATGGATCCTCGAGCCAAAATGGCTACGCAGTGGTTGCGTCGGTAGGCGACGTGTCGAGTCTGAGCGTTGTGAATACATCGATTGTGGCCCGAACTTGCTAATGTGCGCGTTGTGGGATGTGTTTGTTTTCTTGTGCGTGCTCAGTGTCGTGCGAGAACCAACGGGGGCCGAGACGCACCAAGATCCCAAACTCTTGTGGACACAATGGGTCCTAGGTTAATCAACGAACGTGAATGCTCGAATGTTAGAAACGCCTGTTTCCTAACTATTGTTCAACATGGTTGGGAAATGTATTGACGTAGCCAACCTCTTGGGGCTCCCTACGTGGGCGGATGGGACCATCGTTTTTCATGCATGATGGGCGCAGGGGCGAAAACCAAAAGTACCCAGAAGAGCCGTTACGATCAAAAAGTTATATGTCGCCGTCGGGGGACCACGACACTGCGGGCAAGCATTCGCAACGACGCGCCCACGATTATGGTGATGCGCGTGTGTGTAGTTACGAGTGCGCTTATTGTCGTTTTCATTGTGATAGACATGCTTTTAATGAGTTGCCGATATTGGTTGTTATATCTGGTTTCTGGGTGGGATAATATATGTTGCCCAAGCTGCGAAGTGTCGTGTGATGAAAAGGGGGCGCTTAGAAACCTAATCGCTTCATGTGAGTACGTTGTGTAATAATCCTACGAGCACAGGCTGAGAGACCCCAGTTGAAATTGCAATTACCACGGATAACACCTTCACGCACGTCGAGAGAATCGCATTGGACACGATTGCCTACAACAAATACTATTGCACAAAAGCTGGAATATTAAAAAATACAAGCCATGCCCATGGACTTGTTACCCGAAATATTTAGACACATAGGAAATATGTTTCCCAACAGCACCTTTACATGGGGCGAAAACATGTTGAACTTATGCCCCTTGTAAAGATCTGAACTGAGGGGCTCTGGGACCTTCCTGAAACGCTTTTTACTCTTATGCAGGAGGCAGCCATACAAGGCGAAAGGGGGGGATAGCAAAGGGGGGGTTTGAGAATCAGCTCACGTAGCTGATTTCCCGGCGCCTCCCGGCGCCGGAGGCGGCTATGTATCGAGGAATGGGTTCCTCGGTGAGGCCAAAAACAGCTGCATGCAGCAAATTTCGTAACCCCCCCTTTCCCAATCCCCCCCTTTCGCCCGACCCGATAAGGGGGAGGCAGGCTTCTGGGAAGGAGGCTGCTCCCTCGAAGGCGCGGGCCCCTGTCCACAGATGCAGGACCGGCGCCTTCTGAGAACCAGCCTCACTCTAAGAGGCCCTCCCCCCTCCCCCTGCCCCCCTTCTGCGCGTGTCAGGGGGACGTAAGACCCGGGTACAGGGAACTCGGAAATCCCCGACGAGGTCGTCAAAAAAATGACGAGGCCGAGCCTGCATTTTGACGAGGCCTCCCGCTGCAGACATCCCACGAAACTCCTCCTCGTCAAAATCCGAGGCGCGGTCGTCAAAAAACGATGGCGAACCCGAGTCCTGGCAAACCCGGGTCTTACGCTCCCCCGACTTCTGCGCGTGGCCGGCCCCTGTCCGAACTCTCGGCCCCAAGCCGGCCACAGAGACGTTCGAAACGACGCCCGTTCCCCCGCCTGGACCGCGCACTGGGAATACGCTGGACTAGTGTCCCGCCGCATTGTGAGGGGCAACGGTAAGGGGGGACTGGCATAGAGGGGGATGCATCGATCTGGAATCGGCGATTCAGCGATAGGCCTCTGATAGTGAGTCCGCACCTTCCTGGGCAGGCTGGGGCTATCGGGCCCCTATCAGCGATCCATGGGCGATTGGGGGTCGATGCATCCCCCCTATGCTTATCCCACCCTATCGTTGCCCATGACATTGGCAGATCCCAGGACCTTTGTGGGCCCCGGAAACGGCAGGGCCGATTTTTCACCGTTTCCCAAAAAGTGTCCCTTGAAAATGGAAACGGCACAAAAACGGCGACCAAAAACGGCAAAAAACGGCTCCAGGATTGGAACCGGAGCCGGAACCGGTCAAAAAACGGCGGCGGAACCGGTAAAACAACGGCGTCGGAACCGGCAACAAAAACGGCAAAACGGAACCGATTAAAAAACGGCCCTGTCGTTTCCAGGGCCCACTAAGGGCAGATCCCAGGACCACCACGCTTTCCTCTAGCGAGAGCCTCGCCTCGAGCTGCGCCCGCGCCCGGCGCTGCCCCCTCGCGCCCGGCGCAGGCCGTGTAAGTGCGCCCGGGCACCGCACGGGCGGGCAGTGCTGTGGCACCCCTCGCCGCAAGACTGCGCACACAGCGAGCTCACTCCCGAGGCCAACCTGGTGGTACAGTCGGGGCGTTGACCTAAGGAACCCTAAATAAGGAACGAGGCCCCTTTTTTCCATAAGTTAACCTTCGATTTCCTGTCGAAAACATAATAAGGAAAGCCTGAGGCAAGCTGTGAAACACTCAAGGAACGCGGAGCCCCTCCCCAACGAAACGGGTTCCTTCTTCAGGGCCCCGACTGTACTACAACGTAGGAGGACTAACTCTATACACCGACGCTTTTCCCGACCCTGCGCTGAAATTCGCACAAGAACGCGGATCCTGGTGTATACGGATCCTGGTGTATACATGTTTCGTTGTCTTCCCGGAGCATCGGGGAAAAAAGTATACACCACACCACCCCAGCGTTGTCCCCGATCCTCAAGAAGTCCTTGCATTCAAGAAACAGCCCGCCACTGGTAATGTATACGTTCCAGTTTCCGACAACAGCAGCATCCCTGCTGGCATCGGCAGCAGTGCGTCCCCCCCCCGGTGCCAGTGGCCTCAGCAGGCGGCACACGAAGCACGAGAGACAGGCACAGAGTCGCGGTGCCTCTTCCTTCTTCTTTCTCAACTCCTCTTTCTCTTTTTTTCTGTCCTCCTCCTGGCCAGGTCGCGCGGCGAATCCACATCACAGAGAGAGCGTAATCCACCGCCGCTTTACTGTGGAAAATTGCCGCCCTTTTCCTCCGGAACCCGGGGGTCCCCCCCCCCTCCGAACCCCCCCCCCCGCTGGACCCCCCCCCCCCTTCGAACTTGAAAACCGAAGGGGGTCACTACCGGTTCGAACCCCCCCCCCTCGAAAACCGGAGGGGGGGGGGTCACTACCGGTTCGAACCACTGAGCTGTCCCACTGTTCCCACCACTGTCCCCACTGTCCCCACCACTGTCCCCACAGTACCTCTGTCCCATTGTCCCACCGCCGTCCTCGCCACCGCCTTCACCACTGTCCCCACCACCACTGTACCCTCCACTGTCCTACCGTTTCCACCACATTCCAACTGTCCCCACACCACTGTCCCCACCACCACCGTCCCCACCACTGTCCCACTGTCCCCACTGTTCCCACCATTGTCCTCACCATTGTCCCCACCACTACCGTCCCCACCACTGTCCCACTGTCCCCACCACTGTCCCGCTGTCCCCTCACCACTGTCCCCACCACCACCGTCCCCACCACTGTCCGCACCCCCCCTCGGTTTTCGAGGGGGGGGGGGTTCGAACCGGTAGTGACCCCCCCCGGTTTTCGAGTTCGAGGGGGGGGGGGGGTTCGAACCGGTAATGACCCCCCCCCCGTTTTCATGATGAACTGGGGGGGGGAGGGTTCGAACCGGTAGTGACCCCCCCCGGTTTTCCGGAGGGGGGGGGGGGTGGGGTTCGAACCGGTAGTGCCCCCCCCCCCCGGTTTTCCGCCAGCAGCGGTAGAACACGCTCTTCCACATCACATCAACGAAACAAAGGAATATCTTGGTGCAGACATGCCACGTGCTATGCTCAGCGATTGACGGTGCTAGACCTTGTCTCATTTGCGCTCGCTGTCTGTCAACCCCGAGATGGTCGGGGAACCTCGACCCCCACTAAGGACGACCCGTCTGCCCTCGTTCCTCCTCACGCCCTGGACCAGGCATGCCTCCTCTTTCTCTTGCCCCCCCTCTCCTCTCCATGCTCATGCACTCCTCCTCCCTTCACCTCCTCCTCCTCCTCCTCCTCCTCCTCCTCCTCCTCCCTCCTCCATCTAAACGTCCGGCCAAGACTGGTGGTGAACGGGGAGGGAAAATGTACAGGGGCGACGGAGGGGTGGAGGAGCGATAGGATGAAGGATAAGGGGAAGTGGAAACATGAAAGAGATATTGATGTCGTGATGGGATCGGCTCAAAATACGGTCCCGCACTCCCAACAACTACCTGGCGCCCATCGCTTCTGGAGACTACTGTGGAACTGCAGGCAGAAGTTGTGGACATGCGGGAGATCTTGGAACGTGAACAACATATCATGACCGATGGCTCCTCTGAAACCACCCCCCTCCCCATCCCGTCCCTCCCGCCTCCCCCTCCAGTCCTGTTCCATACTGCCGCGTCCCGTGCCGCCCCGTTCCCATGCACAAGGGCTCCCAGCTTCGCGCTTCGCGCTGCCTGAAGCGCGAAGCGCGAACAACTTCGTGCTCTCGCGCCGCCTCCCAGGGGAGAAGAGGAGGGTGAGGAGGAATCGGAGCCGAACCGCGGAGCGCGAATCACTTCGCGCCCACAGCCCCCAGCCCCGTCCAGCGCCCCGTCCACCTCCGCCGCCACGCCGCCTCCTCCTCCCCTGCTCCTCCCTCAAGCTCCTCCTCCCCTGCTCCTCCTCCTCCAAGCTCCTCCCCCAAGCTCCTCCTCCAAGCTCCTGCTCCTCCAAGCTCCTCCTCCTCCTCCTCCCCCTCCCCTGCTCCTCCCCCACGCTCCCCCCCAAGCTCCTCCTCCTCCTCCCCTGCTCCTCCTCCTCCTCCTCCTCCTCCTCCTCCTCCTCCTCCTCCTCCCCCTTTCCCCTCCCCCTTCCCCTACCCCTTCCCCTTACCCTTCCCCCTCCTCCCTCCGTCGTCCCAGCCCCGTCCCAGCCCCTGCTCCTCCCCTGGGCTCCTCGACGCGGAGGCACGTGCGCCTCGAGCCGTGGGGGGCTCGAACTTGCCCGACGGGGCTGGCAGGAGAAGGCGGCAGGACGGAGCCTGGACGAGGATCAATGCGGGCGAGGATAGCTCGAGAATACATTGGTTTGCGGCCATTGGGGCCCACGATCGTCGCGTGCGGTGCGACAGTAGCGTCTTGCTCGATTGTGTTTGGTCCCCCCGCGGCCCTCAACAAGCCGCGCACCCAAGGTCACTCCTACCCAGGGTCACTCTTGCGTGTAGCCGATACAGTGGGGGCGCGCATCAAGAAACCACATGCTTTTCGTCAGGGTATCCTGGGTTTCTTCGCTCCGCGCGATGCGCGGCGACTTCCCGCGGCCGCGGAAGGAGCCGCTGCGTTCAGGGTGCTCTGGGTGTCACCTCCAGGTGCACCTCGCGCACGGGTTCTCGGGGTTGGGTTTCTTGCGAGGGTTTCTTGCGGCCGCGCCCGTGCTGCATCTGAGATCTGGCGGCTCTGGAGGATGTCTCGGGCGGAGCCGCGGCCTTCTCAGAGCGCTCTGAGAGCGTTCCTGACTGCTCTTGAACGGCTTTGTCCTCGTCCTAGCCCCGTCCGATCCCCTGCTCCTCCCCTAGGCTCCTGCATTTGGAGACACGTACTGTGGAGGCCAGACCACAAGAAGCCTTCCACAAGAAACCCAAACCCTGAGACCCCAGGACGTCCATCGATTTTGGTGTGGAAACGTCTTGCTCTTCATAGCAAAACCATCGAAACCCAGGGCACCCTGAAGGCAAGCAGGGTGTTTCTTGGCACGGGCCTCCACTGTAAGACTTGAACTGTGGGGACTCGAAATTGTCCGACGAGGCTGGCAGAGAAACGACGGGCCCCAAACAGAGATTGAACGCGGAATCCCGCTGCAAACATCTCACGAAACTGCACCGTCCGAACTTTTACACCGGGACCGTGGAAAAAGCGGCGGGCGGCAAACCCCAGTCCGGGCAAAATCGAGTCTTTCGTTCCACCCCTCGTTCTCCTCCTCCTCCTCCTCCTCTTCCTCCTCCTCCTCCTCCTCCTCCTCCTCCTCCTCCTCCTGTTCATCCTCCGCCCCCTCTTTAAAGGAAACAAAACAATTCCCGATACCGCAACTCCCCGGACCTCTCCTGGGGTACATTCTGACCAGGATTTCGAGGCGAATCCAGCCGTAGCGACGAGGACCTTCCGGGAGGCCCAAACAGGGGAACACGGGCGAAGTGTAGCAGTATGGGTACCTTTTCCTCTAGGGCTCCCAACTTCGCGCTTCGCGCTGCGCGAAGCGCGAAGCGCGAATAACTTCGCGCTCTCGCGCCGCCCTCCCAAAGGGAGAATAGGAGGACGAGGAGGAGGGGGAGAAGGAACGAGGACCGCGAAGCGCGAAGCGCGAATAACTTCGCGCCCTCGAGGGAGCCCTTGTTCCTCCTCTGGCGCCTCCTCCTTTATCCCCCGAAGATGGGGACAGGGGCTGCTCCCTTCGGGTGTCGGGGAGCATATCCCCAACTGGCGTGGTGGGATGGTGGGGATCGGGATGGGGATGGGGATAGGGATCGGTTAAACGCTACTGGACCTCCTCCTCCTCCTCCTCCTCCTCCTCCTCCTCCCCCTCCTCTGGTTATCCCTCCTTGCCCATATGGCAACGATCATGCGAAACGTCCAGCAGACGGCTAAGCCATGGCAGCCGGGGGCCTCCTGCCTGAGCTCCGCCGCGGTCTTCTTGCGCTCCTCAGCGCTGTCCTGATGCGCCAGGGGTTCCAACAACGGCCGGCGGAAGGACGCCTCTGCAGGATGGAGTGGAGGGCATGAGGGAGGGAGGAAGGAGGGTCCCTCCTTCCTCCCTGCTTCCTGGCCTCCCTCCTCTCCCTCATTCCCTCTCTCCTTCCCTCTCATCTCTCCCTCTCCTTTTCCTTCCCCTCCCCTCTCTTTTCCTCTGAGCTCCCTCCTGGAAGGGGAGGTCAGGGCAGGAGAGGGCAAGAAATGGGGAGGGAGGGAAGCGCCGGGAGGCACGGGATCGAGGAGCGAGAGCGAGGCGTGCACGGTGGGAGGAGGACGAGAAACGAGGAGAGAGAAGACAAGAGAGAGTCTGGCCATCGCTCGGACGTCCATTCCCTGTGCTTTCGTGCGTGGCTTTTTCGCCAAAGGATCAATCACGCTCCTCGATGGTCCTCGCCGAAGGAAACATGCACACGTCCGAGCGATGCCAGGAGACAAGAGAGAGTGAGCATTTTCTTAGGGTGGAGGGCTCAGGGTGAAATCCATATGGGCTTTTGCACCTCGAAAATCAATCCGTCATGTGACTCACCGCTTGCAGATTCCAGCGTCGAACATCAATCGAGACGGCATTTCAGATGTCACCCTTTGCCCTGCACCCAAAGAAAATGCTCCGAGAGAGCGTGGAGGACGAGCCACGAGGACTCCCGCGCGCGCGTCGCTGCGACGGCGGGCGGGCCCGAAGTTAACTGCCGAAACATCGATGGTGCTTTCGGTGCGGCTCGGGCCTGCGTGGCGCGACTCCCCGGGAGCCAGCGCCGCCGGTCACGGGCCAGTCTGAAGTCGGGCCTGCCCCCCTGTCAGGGGGATTTGGGGCGAAACATAAGAAATCAAACCATAACAAATAAATGAAAAAATCTAAATACCCCCTACAGGGGGATTCTGGGCTAAAAATAAAAAATGCTCAAACAAGACTTCCCCAATGGGCAAACATAGACAAACAAATCGTCCCCAGACTAGTTTTTCACTATTTTTGAATTTTCCTCCTGTAGAGGGACAAGCCCGACTTAGAGCCAGCCTCGCGTACGATACCCAGACCTGCTTCCCCGATGCCTACATCGCCGTTAGCGCGACCACGGAGGGTGGAGAGACAAATCCCACCAGCCCTCTGGGGCGTGAGCGTTTTTTCTGCTCCGCCCCCTTCTTCCTCTTCCGGGGGGGGCTACCCCTCCCCCTGCAACTGGACGGGGGGAGCGGCGGGTCGTTAGAGCGTCCAAGATGGCCTCAGCGAGGAAGCCACAGCTGGACCACATCTTGGCCCCCGCGATGTTGTTGAGATTTTGGCAACGCTGTGGCCTCCTCGGGAGCGAACCCTCATTGAGGAGCTGTGCTCAAGTCATCGATCTCCTCCAAGATAGCCATGATGGCCACCAAGGCCCCCAAGGGTATGACCCAAGATGCTTCCGAGACGGCCCAAGATGGCCCAAGAGGCGCTCCAAGCAAGGCCCACGGCGGCCCCAGAGGCCTCCAAGACGGCCCCCAAGAGGGCCCGAAACAGGGCCCGAAGATGCCGCCAGAGCATGGCTTCTGCTCCATCCCATTGTTCAACATGTCTGGCGTCTCCACCTTTTCTCGCCATCGCTCGGACGTCCATTTCCCGTGCAGTTTTCGGTTTCGTGAGTGTTCTTTTTGCTCGATGGTCCAGGATCGTCCTCAATGGTTCTCGCCGAGAAAAAATGCACACGTCCGAGCGATGCCAGGTTTTCAGGGCTCCTGCAGCTCCTTTTC